CACCCTGAGCACCTGCTGCCTGCAAAATCTTCAAAAGCTGCAGTTTCGGTCGTACCCGCTGGCTGATTTGTTCTGAAGAAATTCTGCCAGCACTGTCAGATGCTGAACACCAGGCAGAGGTGGAATGCAATGTCATTTTGTCAGTGAAGATTCCACAGTTAGCAAACTTACTGTTCTCCATGAGTTGCCCCCCCCCCCCACTTCCTAACTGGGGGAGGGGGTGGCAATTGTAGATCTCAAGGCCTGCACATCATTTTGAAACTGCCCCACAATACATTTCTTTCAACCTTTTCAAACGTTGTCCCTAAGGTAGAAGCCAACAGAGAGATGGCTGGGACCCATGAAGCCAAATTCGTAGTTTTGTGACTAGCTGGCTACAGCAGCTGTAGTCTGTCTTTTGAGTCTATGGAGGACATGGACAGAGAAATAATATTGCTTGTTATTGAACTTGAAGTCCAACCTCAATGTATTCCTTTGATAGGTTGAATGATTTGACTCATACCAAGACTCGTGCCTCTCAGGGGAAGTACTTCCACAACTGGAGGCAACTTAGGGTCACATCTGCTTCTTGACTCTGAACTCTCACTATTCTGATGGGATAAAGAAGCAAAGGAGAAGACTCTTGAAAGATTCCTAGGTGGTTCCCTGGAGTACTTTCCAGTAAACTGCCTTCGTGCAGATTTACATAGAATTGCCCTCTTAAAGAACCCAAAGGAACCTAGCAGCTATTGCTCAGATACCGTTGGCCATCTGCCAGCCCTCTCAAGTTCCAATTACTTATTTCTTACACCAAAAGCACCAAAACAACCAAATACAAAACATTTCCTAAAATTTTTAAAATTTGACATAAACTGTACATATTTACCAATATGTCCATCGTATTATTTTGAAATATATATGTATGTATGTATGTATGTATGTGTAAACATATTTGAAAATTACTAAGTCTAGCTAATTAACATAGACACTAACTCATATTGACCACTAGTTTTTTTTTGACACAAGGAGGGTCAGAATACTTTACCTTAACAGTTTTTAGGAGTATAGTAAATGCATTCCTGATTCTATTTATTATGTTTTAACTACAGTGTACTGTAGAAATATTCTTTTCCAGTCTTGTCTATTTGGGGTCTTGCTTGATTCTTGTATCTTTATTCAGATGTCTTACCTTAGTTTGGGGAAGTTGACTTGGGGCTTTTCTCTCTTTTGTATGCAAACAATTCCAAGGTCTTATGTTTACATTTCCAGTATGTTCTTTTCCTGTGTTTATGGTTATTTTCATAGTCCTTATTTAGTCTAAATCCTGTGTATTGTCGTTGAGTTCCTGATATTCTCTATTCTGCTTGATGCTTTGCACCTGACAGGCTTCCCTTTGCGTTTTCTAGTTGAATCATCAGGCGTTCCAATCCCATCTTCAGTCAGCTTGAGCCCACATTAGTGTTTTTGTTTTTATTGAGTCCCATGTTCCCATCCTGGGCTGTCTTACCATGTCCATCACCCTATTTGTGTGATTTCTTGGCCATCACTCAGGTGTTTATTTTCCTTGATCCCTTTGTCTTTAATTTTATTGTTTTGTTTCTTTTCATGGCTTCTTTAAACTCCTTGAACTTTTTAATGAAGTTGATGACCGTTCTTTTAAATTTTGTGTTCTGTCATCTGTGTCATTCTCCCTTTAGAAAATTTCTGTATGACTGGTATGTTTTGGAGGGGAGACACTGCTTTGATCTTTAAATTGTTGGTACTTTTAGGATGAGATCTGGACCTCTGGACTTTGTCAGTTCTGTGTTTGATATGGGCATATCAGTTTGCAGTAGAAGACAGGATAGTTGGTTGGGTTGGGCTTAGATATTGGTATAAAGTCAGGTGGACAGAGAGAACTGAGCTGCTGTGCAGGGTGTGCATCCTGGTCCAAATCTGAAGTATGGGGCTAGAGCTGGCTGGGTGGACAGGTTGGATGTGCAGTGGGAGGGGCCTGTGGGTTGTGATTCCGGCATAGATGCCCAGACTGGGCTGGAACACTGAGTGTGGGACCTGAACTGGATACTGAGGCTTTGGGATGGTATGTGGAAGAGAACATAAGTCAGACTTACAGGGCTAGACCCTGGAGAAGGATGTTGAGGATCTGGCTGGGTAGAGAGGTGTCTCTTTCAGGTTTTTGAGATGTACATTAAAGTTATACACAGTCAATTTACTCCAAAAAAGTACTCCAGGACTTCACCTTATCTAACTGTAAGTATCCATCAATCAACGACTTCCTGGTCCTCTTACTTCCTAATCTGGCCTCTGGTAACTCCTACATTCAAGTTCTATGAGGTTGACTTTGCTCTATTCCACATATGAGTGCTAACATGGTACTTTATTACAGTTTATGCAAGTATGTCTAGTTTTATTCATATATGAGGGTGAGTTGAGGACCTGTACCAGCTATCCCATTAACACTTTCCCCTGGTCACCAGCTTGTCCCCTAGACTATCACATTCAGTCGTGCTTTCTAGCTTTGTATCTGGAGCCTTTACTTCTTCAGGGTGTGCTGGGTGTTTCCCACAAGGATTGGTCTTTGTAGGCACTAAGGTCTGCCATACCTGAAAAACAGTCTTCTAACCTTGGAACCTTGTTACGTCATCTCATTTAAGAAGAACTTTAAGAGAGGAAGAACTATTTTATCATTCATGTGAATAATGAGTAATATCAGTGGGTATAGTGAAATGAGATGTTTCAATATTGTAAGACATTGAAAATTAATAAATTAATGTTTTTGTACTTGGTAAAAAAAAACAAAGGACCTTCTTCAGGTTTTGGTCTCTAGGATTTATGAAGAAAAATCATGCATTTTAATTGTGTTTCCTTGCTTATGTTAATTTTTTCTTTTTATCTTTAGATTTCAGCAATTTGATCATGGAAAACCAAGTGGAACGCTAACAAGGTGGACAAAGTTTAGGACAATTGAGGAATTTACAGTAACATGATACATTGTTTCACATTCTCCAGTAATCTTCAAAAGTGTTAGAAAGTGGGGTACTCAGAACAAAGTAACTAGAAAATCCAAAGGGTCCTAACTATCGAAATAAGGTTTATGTGCAAATAAAAAAAATCTTTCATCACCAATGTTTGAATATTGTTTTCCTTTCCAATGTTTCCATGTCCAAATAATAAACTTCCAAACTACTTACTTCTGCACAAACAACATACTCTACAGTATAGATGGGACAGCTGCTTTAGAATTCACATTCATTTCCTTCTTCTTCCACTGACCATTAACACCCAAGCCTGACAGGTCGAATAATGTGTTCATATTCAGCTGCCTGCTATCTGTCCGTTGTTATCTGCCTGTTACAGTTTTACCTGTGATCTTGCTAACTTCAAAGGCACTTTCCTTTTTGTCTGTGCAGTCTTCCATGGCACTGAAGAGACACTGTTCTGATGGCTTCTTATTCTCTTCAGTCTGGTTAACTATTATTTTACTGCATTTGGTTTGCCAGTAATATAAGCTCCAGCACCCAAAGCTTGGTGTGATGTCTAGCATATACTTAAAAAACAAAGACGATATTTTAAATAAGTATATTATGTAATATGAACAATAAAAACTGCTGCTAGAAAATCACTTCTTAGAGAGCAAGCCTGTGGAAAATGACCTCAAAGAGAAACTGAGTAGAATCGAAGACAAGAATAGCCCTAGTTCAAGTCTCGTAATTTGGTTATCCTAAGTAGCAAGAGACCAGCGACAAAACGATTCATCAAGGAACAGTCATAAAACAATGCACTATGATGATATGTAGATAAGCAGTAGAAAAGGACAAACAGTGAACAGTGCTTAGAGGTTAAAGCAACTTGTTTCAAACATGCCCATTGGCATCCACTGTTTTACAGGACGGTTGATCGTCTGTTTTTCAAATGGCTAGATAGAGTATAAAAAGTATGAGATCTATTTGGGAGGCCCTGTAAGAGGGGGTGCTTAGTCATTTGGTTGCTGCCACAAATGTAACACTGCAGAGGACAAAGAGAAGCACACTGGTGCTTTCCCTTCCCCACAAGATTTCTCAAGAAATTTAAAAATACATATATAAATATGATATATCCATATATATATGTATATATGTATATATATATATATATCCATTCAAATTATGCAATGCATATCATAGACCTGCTTGTTCTATAAGCAGCTTAGTAATTCATTGTGTGAGATGTCATGCAGTCTCAAAAATATTAGGCTTGATACAAACGCTGATCTAAATAGTGATTAGTGGGGTGTAAAACAGCCCCGAATAGTTTAGTGCTTGTCTCAGAATGTTTTGCATCTCCACAAACATAATGCGATGCTCTTGTTACCTGGATGAAGCCTGCCTCTAATACAGATGAAGCGTCAGAAATGTTTAGTCCATGCTTACATGCTTATTCTAACAGGAAATGCTGCCATCACTAACCAATGGTGTGGACTTGCCACATTGGTATAGGAAGGTTGAATAGAGACACTTGTTTCACAAACGTGATAAACTTGGTCTTGCTTTCACCTCTGGTCCTGTCCTAGCTTATGTTTCCCACTGTGTCCTACAAGTATACCATTTCTCCAAACACTTAAAGTTAGCTGGACATCATTTATACAGCAACATTAAAGTAGAAATGAGAGTGTAATGTAAAATCACCAGCCAGCCATCCTGAAAAGCGTTTTATTATGGGAAATAAAGGTAAAATTAGGAAAATGTCTAGAGGAACATCATTTTTAAGTAAAAAAAAAATCTTCCAATAGAAATGTGAAAATAATAAGAAATGACATAATTTTTAAAATTCATAGAGTGATGTATCCATGGGTAATTTATCATATTGCTTTGTTGTCCCATCAATATGTTCAAAACATTACACAGTAAAATTAGAAAAGAAAGTTTTCCATACTGTTATAGAGTTAACAGTGCAGCAAATACTGTTCAGTTAAGGTTTTTATATTCATAACAAATTAGAGGAAATTGTTGATCAGGCCAAGATTTAAAAACAGACATTATTTTTTTCCTGTATCTTTTCATTGCGACGCACAGATGAATGATTGGATACACACAGATAATTCCACAGCAATGTCAGGCAGTGCTGAAAGGTACAGCTTGTCAAGTCATAGAGCCCAGGTCACACGACGCGATTGAATATGTGGTTTCGACATGGTACCCTCCTTTGAGGTCACAGAGTGCACATGGACAATGCTCCGAGGCATGGCGGAGCGCGGCGGAAGTGACACAACTTGGATGGTGCTCGGAGTCATTTCTTGACTTTTACTTTCTGTGTGGGGTACACAGAATTTCATGCAGGAACATCTATCCGTGATCTGTATGAAACAGAAGATACCTAGAGACAGAGGGAGCAGGATTAGCGTACCGTGCAGAGGTGAAAGATCACTTCCTTCAAAATATTAAGAAGACTCCGACCACTGAGCTTTGTGAATACTTCCTAGCTTTAGTCTGAGGGAGTGGAATACTCCCACAGTAGCTTCAGTGATTTTCAGCTCCCTTGGGAAGGCTCATCCTGAATGAAGGGGTGCTTCTGCCTGGGTTCCTTGGGGGATGTGCAATTCTTACAAAATTCTAAAGCTTCCCAGGAGAAGGGGACCTCCTATCTTGGTCTCTGGTATCAGCTACTGCTGTCTTGTAATTACATTGGCACCACATTGTTTTCCGTGGACCCCTGGTCCTCTCTTAACGTAATCGAACACCTGTTCTCGGCCATTGTGATTGGTGGTGTCTTTCGTGATTTATATCTGCCTTTAAGATGGAAAGATACTAAAAATACCGAAAAGGAGAAGACAAGGAATGCTCCCGGAGGCAGGCATGCATAGCCTACCATGTCCAAATTCAGCTTTCTGCTCGCAAGAACTCTATTTAGAGAGTTAGTCCAGGTGGGTTTTCATCCTTTAAAGTACAGGTTTTGGTATATTCCCTGACTCTCCATTTTTGTTATTTCTCATTCCTCTCCCTGGATGTTGACTGACCCGTGTCTCTCTTTAAGGGCCCTGGGGTGGGGAGGATACTCACCACAGGTAAGAAAGAGGGCGATGGTTAAGTAGACAGTGAAAGGTATCCATTTCATCTTGTAACTAACGAAGTACTCGTACTGACCTTTATTTAGCTTGTGATGATACACAATGATTGCGTAGAACAAAAGGCAACCTAGTGTCCAAAAGGAAGAGTTTTATTTTCAGGAAGTTTAAACCCATCAGTCAAGTCTCCACACCCATTCATCCTATGGTGATAGGAACAAACCTCTCTCGGCCAGCACAGCTATTCCACAGCGTGATCCTAAGTTAGTGATGGATCTAATTCATAAACAACAGGTACCCTTGAATCAGAGAACTGGAAAGCTTAGCTATTTAAAAGATTGCAGACTGGAACCCACAAGCCATTGCGACTTCCGTCTATACCAGTGGAAGGCAGGAAGTTACCTGCGAAGAAACTCAGGAAGCCAATAAAGAGATGCGCACACTTGTGTTGAGAAATCATGTAGGTGAACTGCAGACCTATGACCATGTTTAGGTAGATAGCAATGTTGAGAGTCATCATCATCATCTGTCGGATCGACTGCAGGCTTTCTGTTGGGAAGCAGAGGCTATACTGAGAGAAGGATATACATTTCTTCCAGACCCATTTCCACAGTTGCGTAGGTCAAACTTTCATGAGGGTCAAAAAAAAAAAATCAGAATACAGAGGAGAGAAAAGGAGTAAAGAATGGAGAGGCAGTGTATTTGAGACAGAAAAATCAAAGCAGCAGAAATTTAGTGTCTTTATGAGAATCTTTATAACTCATAGGTCGTTACGTATTGTACCAGCCCATCTGCTCCTAGCGTGTTAAAATCCATTTTCCTTTAGGTCAGTCGTTTTCTTCATACCCTCTTGTGTCTAGTTATACTGGCTACCCTACTGCTACTGATCAGGTTTATCAAAAGTTCAGTGCTTAAGCCGAGGTGGTGGCTCATGCCTTTAATCCCAGAACTTGGGAGGTGGGAGGCAAATCGATATCTGTGAGTTTGAGGCCAGCCTGGTCTAGAGTGAGTTCCAGGATAGTTAGGGCTACACAGAGAAACCTTGTCTTGAAAAGCCAAAAAAAAAAAAAAAAAAAGAAAAGAAAAAAAAGAAAAGCAAAACAACAAAACAAACAAACAAAACAACAAAAAACAAACCCAAAACCAAAGCAAAGCAAAGCAAAGCAAAAACAAAACAAAACTTAAAAGAAAAAAATCAGTGCTTAAATCAGTGAGACCCCAGTTTTTTTCTCCCAAACATCTACATGGTGAAATTTTACAGCAAATGGCTTACAGTTGCCTGAGAAAGTTGAAGTTGAGCAGATCAGTCAAAGAAAATTTCTCTTCTACCCACCACTTTCCATAGTATAATTCTGACCTTCAGGCCAAAATGAAGGACAGCATCCCAGCCACGGACTGTGGGTAGTTCTGTCCTTTCTCACTTTGGGAACCAATTCCACCCAGTTTTCCATGATGAATCCTACTATCAACAGAAGTATGGCCCCAGAGGAGAAGAATATGTTGGCAGCCTGGATACTTCTGTTTGGGATGTGCATTATTGTGAATAAAAATTTCTACTAGAGACTACCACCAGTATTTTACATGTCTTTGATTTGATCGGTCAGAAGATGCAGGATGAACTCTGGATGTTCACTAACTGCAGAGATGTTGGCAGAGACGTCAGTAGAGGCAGAAGCTGAAGTTATCTGAAGAACAGAAAAGATAACTTCCTCCCTTTACCATTCTTATATAAAGGGCAGACTGTTGTCAGAGCAACAAACTGCCATGGAATTCTCTGTCTGTTGGTTTGACCCTTGACCTTGGTACCTAGGGTATTGGAAAAACCAAGTTTCTTTGAGAAAGCTATAATATGATGAGGTCTGATTTCTCTCTCTGTCTGTCTCTCTCTGTCTCTCTGTCTCTCTCTGTCTCTCTCTGTCTCTCTCTGTCTCTCTCTGTCTCTCTCTGTATCTCTCCTTTCCCTTTGTGTACAGAAACACACACACACACACACACACACACACACACACACACACACACACAGAGAGAGAGAGAGAGAGAGAGACAGAGAGACAGAGAGACAGAGAGACAGAGAGACAGAGACAGAGAGAGAGCAAGAGAGATAGAGATCATAAATAGATTTCAAAGACTTGATGGGCTTAACTAAAGAAGTCCTAGTCCTGTATCGCAGTTGGAATACTTGTGTAGAGGATAGTGACACTCAGTGGAGTCTGTGAAAAGGATGAGTCTTTTGGATGAGTCAAGGTCTTTTGGATGAGTGCTCAGTTAGTTGGCACCATAAGAGGTAATGCCCATTAGACATTTTGGATGTGTTGTAGAACCTCAGGTCTTCAATGAGGTTTCTCAAAGAAGCCGATTAATTAGCCTTTGAGGGAGACTCAAGCTCTGAAACTGAAACAAATTGTCCTGCTACCCTGGGCCATTTCATTCCACTGCCTTCTATAAGGCATAAGAATCATTCTCTGTCAGAACTGCCTTTGTAACTTGGCAGAGAAGACATTTTGTGGAGTCCTTGAGGAGAAAACCATGGTATGCACTAGGTTTGCATCCAGAGGGATGCTCTAAAACTCCTTAAATGCTTTTTGCTGAGCTAAAAATGAAACTGTCTTGACATGCTTCTTTCCTTCCAGTTTAAAAAAAATATCTTTTACTGAAAATACTCGTTTCTCATACAAAGGGTCCTGATTATTGTTCCCTCTCCCTTCTCAGCTCTTCCCCATCTCCTTCTCGGAACCTACTTCCTTCTTGTCTCAATAGAAAAGGCCTCAAGGTGATAACAACTAAACAGGGCAACACAAAATACAATAAGATGAAACAAAAATTTTCATATTGAAGTTGGACATGGCAACCCAGCAGGAGAAAAAGTGTCCCAAAATACAGACGCAAGAGAAAGAGACCTGACTGTATTCACAGGAAGGAGTCCCATAAAAACATAATAGCGACAACATGTACCGAGGACTTGGTGCAGACCTATGTAGGCCTACCCACAGAATTTCCTTCTATGTTTTTAAAAATTCCATCACAGAATCCTTTTTTTTGGGGGGGGGTGTCCAAAAGGGCCTCTTTAATTGCCTCAAATACTTTCTCTTTAACCCAGAGCTGGCTACGTATTATTTGATAGTAACATATTTCCTTTATAGTTTTAACTCTGAAAAGACAATATTCCAGATCAAATCTAGTCATAAATGAGACTTTATGGTTAAGAGAAAAGACTTAGCACCTTAAGTTTAAATCTTGGCTCTTCCACCCTTCAGCAATGATCCAGTCTTAGAGGTAATGATTTTTTTTATCATATAAGAATTTTATACAAAACATTATTATGTCAGCAAAGACTTCAGATGTACAGGACTTGAGGAGTGTCTGGCAGATGGCCAACGGTATCTGAGCAATAGCTGCTAGGTTCCTTTGAGTTCTTTAAGAGAGGAGTTCTGTGTAAATCTGCCTGAAGGCAGTTTACTGGAAAGAACAACAGGGAACTACTTATTTCAGTGTGTAACAGTAATGGGTCAGAGCAGAAATTGATGGAAATGCAGTTGCAATAGGAAAAACTTAAGACTCCAGAACTCTGGGAACACAGTTTAGTTGGCCATTCTAGTGGAAGCCTAGAAGACAGTACTTCTGGATTATGGAGACCTGGCACAAGAGATTTCAAAGAGAAGCAAGATCCATTAGCAACTGAGATAGAGGTAATATTTTGTCTTAGAACATGGAAAGTTTCTGCCTGTGTCTTGAGAATTTAGTCTAAATTAAAAAGCAATGCACTAATTTCTTTGGTGGAGAACATTTTTATTAATTAATTAATCAAGTAAGTAAGTAAGTAAGTATGTAAGTAATTTACATCCTGAACACTCCTCCTCCTCCAGGTCCCCACCTTACAGAGTCCCTCCCGATGCCATCCCCTTCTCCTCTCAGAGGGTAAGGCTCCCCTGGGTATCTCACCACTCTGGCACACCAAGTCTCAGCCTGATTAGGCACATTCTCTCACCCTGAGGCCAGGCAAAACAGCCATGAAGACTGTGCTACCTGTCTGCTACATATGTGCTGCAGGCCTTATTCTAGCCCTTGTATGTCCTTTGGTTGCTGACTCAGACTCTGAGAGCTCCCAGGGGTCATGGCTTGTTGACTATTTTGGTCTTCCTGTGGGGTTCCCATCTACTTCAGGGCCTTGAATCCTTCCCTCATATCTTCAAGAAGTGTCCCTGACCTCCATCTAATGTTTGGTTATGGGTATCTGCATCTGTTTCAGTCCTCTGCTGGGTAGAGCCTCTTAGAGGACAGTTATAGTAGGCTCCTGTCTGAAAGTATAACAGAGTATCATTAATAAGGTCAGGGATTAGTGCTTGCCCATGGGATGGGTTTTGAGGTAGACCATTTTTTTTTGGTTGGCCTTTCCTTTGCTCTCTGCTCCATCCCAGTGTTTCTTGTAGACAGAATAAGTTTTGGATTGAAAAATTTTCTGGGTGGGTTGATATCCTTATCCCTCCACTAGGGGTCCTGCCTGGCTACATGAGGAGGCCTCTTCAAGTTTCATGTCCCCATCTCAGCTAAGATCAGAGCCTCTCATATACCAGGTCTCTCCTTGTCTCTTAGTCTGCCTCCTCATTCCCCTCCCCGCCTCCCTCCCCACTCCCATCCTATTCCCTCTCTCCCTCTGTCTCCTATGACTATTTTGTTTAGCCTTCTGAATGTGATTTAAGCATCCTTGCTTTGGCCTTCCTTCTTGTTTAACTTTTTTTGGGTATGTGGGGTGTATCATGGTATTATGTACTTTATGGCTAATATCTACTTATCAGTGAGTACATACTATGCATGTCCTTTTGCGTCTGGGTTACTTCACTCTGGATATTTTCTGGTTCCATTCATTTGCCTACAAAATTCGTGATGTCCTTGTTTTTAATAGCTAAGTATTCCGCTATGAAAATATACTGCATTTTCTGTATCTATTCTTTTGTTGAGGAACATCTGGGTTGTTTCCCATTTCTAGCTATTATGAATAAGGCTGCTATGACCATAGTGGAGCACGTGTCCTTGGGGTGTGGTGGAGCATCTTTTGGGTATATGCCCAAAAGTAGTGTAGCTGGGTCTTCAGGTAGAGCTATTTCCAATTTTCTAAGAAACTGCCAGATTGGTTTCCAGAGGGGTTGTATGCATTTTCAATCCCACCAGCAATGGAGGAGTATTCCCATTTCTGGTGGGATATATTTGGTTAAAAAAGTTCTTCTGGAAACTTCTACCCTGAGGTAGTGACTGAAGGTATTATTCCAAAAAAAAAATAGCATAAAGCAATCAACAGTTCAGCATCACTATAAAACGACAACAAAGGGTAGCATGGCAAGATATTTCCCAAGGTGCAATATAGTGGCACATCTACCATGAGGGTAACCAACAACTGTCTAATTGAACTTAAAGGCCACTCAATAGAAGGAAATTCATGGTGGATACTATAAACCTAGTCAACTGCCTGTGTCTAGTGAGGCCAAGTACTCTAAAGAGAACCCACTAATGTCACTTTTCTAATCCCGTACATGTCTAACCACGTTCTAAATATTTAGTCTTAGGCTCATACGTGCTTGTGGCTCTTAGCACTCACAGATGGAGACCATTACAGCAATTACAAGTGACCAAGATGCAGAGAACAACTGATCTAGGAATTGTCATCCAGCGTTGATCCATCTTCAACACAATTACTACACCCAAGGCTCAGGGAACATCGTGGAAAATGTGGCAGGAAGGTCATAAGAGCTAGATGACCAGGATGTCTGCTATGGGATAATGTCTTCTATATATGACAGTGAAGCTGTGCTCATGACCTCTGAACACTATGGTTACCTAAACAAGACCTTCCTAAACAATGACATCATTACAAGACCTTCCTAAACAATGACATCATTACAAGACCTTCCTCAACAATGGTATCATTAGTTGACATCCCAGTGTGGATTGAGGAAAACTCCATAAGGCCCTACCCTCTAAATCTGGTTCTCAACATTCCTAATGCTGCGACCCTTTAATGCAGTTCCTTACGTTGTGGTTTACCCCCACCTATAAAATTATTTTTGTTGATACTTTATAACTGTAATTTTGCTATGGTCATGAATTGCAATATTAATATTTTGGAGACCCCAAAGGGGTTCTCAACCTGTGGGTGCTGCGCTAGGTGAAGAGCTACAGTCAATAAATGGCATCTGAGAGAGAAATACCTGACCTTCTCAGGCCTGAACTCTCTGTTAAGTTATCCAATCTTTTCTTTTTCTTTGCAGGAGCCTGGTATGGCTGTCTCCAGAGAGGCTCTGCTAGAGCCTGACAAATACAGAGGAGGATGCTCGCAGCCAACCATTGGATTGAGCAAGGTGTCCCCAATGGACAAGTTAGAGAAAAGACTGAAGGGGGGCTGGAGAGATGGCTCAGTGGTTAAAAGCTGACTGTTCTTCCCGAGGTCCTGAGTTCAATTCCCAGTGACCACATGGTGGCTCACAACCATCTGTAATGGGATCTGATCCTCTCTTGTAGTGTGTCTGAAAACATTGACAGTGTACTCATGTATATTAAAAAAATAAATCTTAAAGAAAAAAGAGAAGGGATTGAAGGAACTGAAGGGGCTTGCAACCCCACAGGAAGAAAAACAATATCAGTCAATCAGATCCCCCCTTGCTCCCAGAGACTAAAGTACCAACCAAAGAGTACACATGGAGCGACCCATGGCTCCAGCCACACATATAGCAGAGGATGGTCTTGTCGGGCA